ACTCCTGACCCTAAAGTACTTCATCTTATTAACTTGAGAACAATGAACTCACTATGAGCATCCATTTGCCGCACACTTTGCCCATACATGTCCTTCCTCACTTTTTTTTGAATCTCAAGACAAAATTCTGAGATATGGCATAATCAACAAGATGGTTACGACACATGTATACACTATCAAAATCTTGTCCTTGATGACGTGGTACTTCATAACAGTCTATTCTTTTGGGGCCTTCTATTGGATGTCATGCTCCTTCTTTGTCTCAAATTCATTACCTAGACCTATGATAACACCTTCATTGTGGGCGAGTTCCCCACCTACAGATTCCCCAGACCTCCTGCAAAAAAGGAAGGTTCAATTGTCTTTAAGTAAATCGTCGCCTATAACACACCTACATTAAAAGTAGAAAACAAAAAATAATAATTACCTAACTCTCTTTGATGTTTCATTGCTGATTGTTGAAGGTCTATTTCTAGACAAATCATTTGATTGACGTTGTATGTACATATCAATGGGAGAAGGCCTTTCCAACATGCACGCAACATCACTATTGTCCCTCACATCTACCATAGAGAACTGGCTTGATAAATCAGGGCCATATTGCATCAAATGCGTCAAATGTGCCTTAAGTTGGTCCAAGGAATCGTTTCGTTGAAAGAATGTCACCTTCACCATTCCCCCATCATAGAAAAGTTGCCCATCATTTGGGTTTTGCTTTAGACATCTATCAAAACACAAAGCCAATTTTACTCTCCCATCACCCATTGTTAGCCCTAGCAAATATAAATAAGCAGTGAGACAAATATGCAATAGAGCGAAGAAAAATTAAAGAAAATGAACCTTACAAAAAGAAGTCGTAATTGATTATTTTCACATTACCTACATACATAAATCACAACCATATTCATTACATATTACAATCTACTAAGAATTTGAATATCACAGTTTTAAAACATAACATTTACATATTAAAATTGTGAAAAGCATTGAACATAATCCAAGTTAATGTTCAATAAAAGAAAAAAATAAAATTACATGGCAAGCCAGCATTTATCCCATAGACAAGTGACCAAGATTAGATCTAGGCATTGCATAATTTATAGAAATTAAAAGTACTAACATTAAATATATAAACAAACAAACAAAAATCTAGCACCCAAAATTTTACTCAAATTCTCTAAATAGTGAAATTTGAATAAAAATCTCATGAAAAAATTAAGCAAAGGGAACCAAAATTGAGTAAAATTTACCGATGTCTCAAGGGTATTTTACAGATAATAAACATGAAATTGTGAATACCAAGAAGATAAAGTCATTTACCTTGATCTTTTCTTGAGGTAGGTGATGTGTGGGCCTATTGATTTGTGCGTAGAAGTAGTAGAAAGAACCGCTCAAAGGGAAAGTAAATTGTAGAACATCTCGAAGTTGCAGTAAATGGGGGTGAAAGAGCACCACAAACCACTATAGCCGTTGCAGTTTTGGTGCCAAAATTTGGCGTTAAAAAAATTGGACGAAAACATGGGAGGAAACCCTGGCCTAGTGCCACGTCTATGTCAAGTCTGTGATGACCACCACGGTTTTTGTAGAGCCGTGACGGTTTTGGTCACCACGGACTTGACATAGTCGTGAAGGGGTTAAAACAAGAATAAAAAAAATGCTAAAACGATGATATAGATGTATTAAATATTACATAAAGATAACTTTGAAATTTAAGCATCTTTATATATATATGTGGGAGCGATTTGTATAGAGCCTAGGCTCTAAACAATCAAATTAGAGCCTACCTTCAAATAGTGTCGAGAAATATGGTTTCAATACTGGATATCTTTTTGATAGCCTTAAAATATATTTTCATATTTATTTATAAAGTTTAAAGCTTAAAAAATCGTGTAGATCGAGAGATCTATGAAAACATGAAATTCTTGAAAATTGGCGATCCAAAGTACGTTACAAAGTACACTATTTTCAAAAGTTGAAATCTATTTTTTTCTCATGTCCATGCATCTTGATATCGAGATGATCACTTTGAAAATATTTGGGCATCAAAACAACGTCTTCAAGTGAAATTTTTGAGGTAGGCTCGAATTTGATTAGAGCCTCGACTCTATATAAACACACACACACACACACACACACATATATATATATATATATAGGAAAAGACTTTGTGAGCCAATGGGCTCACAAGAAAAAATGAGCCCAATGGCCCATAGTGAATATGGCCCGATCTAACAATCACGGATGCCCGATAGTGTTTAAATTTTAATTTTTTTTCTACAAATCCAAATTACTTGAAATTTTAGATATGTATTGATAAACAATAGGTGAATATTCGAAAAATATTAAAAATATTTTTCATGAAAAAATGACAAAATACCCCCATAAATTTTTAGGAGTATTTTGGTCATTTTTAATTTTGTGGATTATTTTTTTTATATTTTTATTAGGTGCGTCTTGATGAGAAGAATATTCACCTAAATTTTAAGTGATATAGATTTGTAGAAAAAAAAATTAAAATTCAAACAGTCTTGGACGTCATATCGGCCCAGATTCAATACGGGCAATTGGGCTTATGCTATTCTGTGAGCTAGTGGGCTCACCCTACAAAACGCCTATAGGAGAAAATGAACAGTGATTTCGCCTATCTTGATCACCGTCTAATGTTCATTGTATGGTCACGATTGTTCGGTCGTATTTTATTTTTAATTTTTATTTTTACAAAGGAATGACCTGAAATTTGGACCAAATGTTCATTGAAAATAGTCAAATCTATGAAAAATATCAAAAAAATATTTTACATGAAAATAATTGATTGATGAATGTTTTTTTCAGGAATTATTTTTTGTATATTTTTATTAGATGCGTCTCACTAGGATGTACACTCTCTAAATTTTATATCATTCTGATTTGTAAAAAAAAAAAATGAAAATGAAAAACTACCAAACAATCGTGACCGTGCGATAAACTTTGGACGGTGATGAGGGTAGGCAAAATCACTGTTCATTTTTGCCTATGGAGGAGAAGGCTTCCCAACGCCTATAGGCGAAAATGGACAGTGATTTCACGTACCCTCATCATCGTCAAAAGTTCATCGCATGGTCACGATTGTCCGATAGTTTTTCAGTTTTCATTTTTTTTCTACAAATCAAAATGATCTGAAATTTAGAGCTTGTGTACATCTTACTGAGACGCACCTAATAAAAATATATAGTGAGACGCACACACACACACACACATATATATATATATAGGAAAAATCTTCCCAATGCTTATAAGCGAAAATGAACAGTAATTTCGCCTACCCTCATCATCGTCCAAAGTTCATCGCACGGTCACGATTGTCTGATAGTTTTTCATTTTTTCATTTTTTTTCTATAAATCAGAATGTTCTAAAATTTGGAGCGTATGTACATCTTTGTGAGACACACCTAATAAAAATATACAAAAAATAATTTGTGAAAAACTATTTATCAAAATCCCCTGAAACTTTTTAGTGGTATTTTGGTCTATTTATTTCATGTAAATTTTTTTTTTATATTTTTCGTAGATTCACCTATTTTTATGAACACACCACTCCAAATTTCAAATCATTTCGATTTACAAAAAAAAAAAGAAAAATAAAATACTACCAGAATATTGTGACCGTGCGATGAACTTTGGATGGTGATGAGGGTAG